TTTTGAAGAGTTCCTAAAATGTGTTATTACTACGCAAAATGACGAACTATTTACCGGGGACCCGAGGTCCTAGTTGAGCGTACGTTTTATCCTTCTTCGATAGACGTGAACTGAGCAGGGGACCTAAGGTCCTAGTTCAGCGTACGTTTTATCCTTCTGCAAATATCGCCCAAAGATATCATACAAAAATAAAAAGGGGGAAAATGAATATATTATTTCAAATTATTAAATTTTATGAATTTTCTTATCTGTGTTCTTGACAAAGGGTTGAATTGAAATTTCAAGTTATGAGTTATCTATGGAGGAATCATTTAATCTATTAACCCCCCCCCCTTCCACCATTTAATCTGTTGATTATTTCAAATGCTAAATTGCTTTGTGAAAACTTTATCGTCAAATCTCAAAAAATAAAACAAAGTTACCACCACCATCCTTAAAAAGGTTTGTTAATAATTACAGTTGCAAATTATATGTGCTCTATGGAGCAATATACGTACATTCTACATTAATATAACGTAAATTCAATTTTCAGTACCATTAAAGAATAGACGCATACGTTCTAAGTTCTACATGTATGCCTAAGCAACAATTTAAATGGGAAAAATTAGGTGCATAATTTAATACATGTATCTCTTGCAAAGCAACAAAAATGGAAATGAATTCAATTTCGAACAGTTTCTTGACACCCAACACCCACAGAGAGAGAGAGAGAGAGAGAGAGAGAGAGAGAGAGAGAGAATTATATTTCCTACGAAACATGATATATTCTTCTTCAAAATGTTTAGCTTGGTATACAATTTAGGTGTAGAGAGAGTTGATGATACACTATCACTTCAAACTAGCAGCAAAATACAAACTTTAAGAAAGTTCTGTTTCCGAATGATAAGAGACTTAAAACTATGCAATATTAACCAATTGCTCAAAATAGAAACATTCGATTATAAAACCACAATTCTATTTTTGAATAATATTATGTCAATTCAGTTTTCAAATCACACGGATGCACAAGATATTGTGTAAAAAAAATGTTCACCTTTGCATGTGCACTTCCATTTGCAGAGCATTTCTGCAGTCTTGTTACAGAAAATAATGTCATTTTAAGAAAAAGTGAATTTCTTCATGTTTTTAGTTTTTTTAAAAATCATTAAGATTCACTCGCAAATCTGTTCAAACAGCTTTAGAATTTAATTTTAATTTACTTTAAAACATGGTAACGTAAATATTGGTAACGTAAATATCGGTAACGTAAATATCTTTCTGAGATTTATCGTAACTTTTAATGATGTTGTTTAATTATTCCACTGTTAATTAAAGGCATATTCTAGCGCTTGAATGTAAGGCATTTTGACCCATAGGAAACAGTGTAGTTCTCATACATAATTTGTGAATAATTACTAACACGTAAATATCGATGAATTTCTTAACCATTGGACTCATAAGAAAAGGGGGGCTATTTTTTATAAATACAAATAAACAGTGTCTTTTTACCGTTCAATGCAATAGAAGAGGTGTTCATGATGTTAAAAAGTTACAACTTAATCCCACTGAGTCAGTTTAGCAATCCTTCAAGTCCTTTTGAATTTCCAAATAGAAAAGTAATAATTTTGCGGTGACATCAAAATTTGATAAATATATTAACATTTTTAAAAATTTGTGACACGCATATGTGTGAAGGGTGTGATATTCAGAAAATATAACTCAAATGTAGGACAATCTTACTAAGAAAAAAGTATGTAAGTGGTTTAAAACTTCTTTTTGGTTTAAAATAAAAACTACACTATGATCGGCGACAGTAACGTAAATATCGATTTCTGCTACAAAATACGATTTTCGCCTAAGACAATCATTCAAGTTACAACAAACTATTGTTGTATTTTAATCAACAACCAACAATGGTTCATATGACTTGCAGAAAATAAAATTTATTAGAAATATTATATTACTTAAAACACGGTACATTATTTAAAGCGAATTGAGACTATAATTTGAGAATCAGTGGTAAACATATCCTTCAGCAGTATTACAGCTCATTACTTTCTATAATAATGCAGCTCACGGTCATTTACACTGTAAATCTGTGCATTGTAGAATAAATTTTAAGGTACACTGTATATTTCTTAATGTCAATGGTACCTAATAGAATTCTAGGATAAAATTATTCTTACAATGTATACACACAGTACTATACAGATATCCTAAAAAAAAAATACGTGGATTTTTCAATGAAGTCCTGTGACACAGGACTTCATTGAAAAATCCACGTACTTTCTTTTTAGGATATCTGAATAGTACATTTTTTTTTGAAGAATGGAAAGGTACAATTCATTACATGTGCCATATTAAAGTAAACGAATTATAATTAAATTCTCTGAGTTCTAAACTTTAATGTAGCAAATGTACGTTTCAAAAATCATTAAAAAAATTTTTATTGCCAGATGTGTAGAGGAATAATTTGTTGTCTCAAGTTTTCGAAGAAAAGTAGGTAGAAACAAGATGTTTTTGTGAAACATTGATGTCCCCATATATGTCAGCTTTTGGCGAGGGTTTAAGTTTCTCAAATGCAAGTCAAACTCCAAGATCAAGAGATCAAAAATGTTGTTACCCAAAGAAAGTACTTGGCTTAATGAATATGCCTATGAAATATGAAAGTCCATGCACTGAAATTTATAGCCAAGATTAACACTTTTTAATGTGGGTCAAACTCCAAAGTTAAGGTCAAAGGGTCTAATAAAAGGACCAAACAGAAGGCCTTAATTGGCTTAGTACCCTATCACCAACTATTTAAAAGTTATGGACAAGTTTTTCAAAAGAAGTCAAACTCAAGATCAACGGTCAAGATCAAAAAGTCAAAAATATTTATATCCATGGAAAAGTCTTGCCACAATGAATACACGTGTGATGAATGAAAACTCTTAACACCAACGTATTCGATTGATTGTTTATTGTTTAACGCCGCTCTCAAGAATTTTTCACTCATATGGAGACGCCACCACTTGCAGGTGGATGGCTTCAAATTCAGACCTATACTAGGCCATTGAGCAGTACTCTTTCTCGTGCCTGCACCTAACTACTGCGACATGGAACCTCGGTTTATACAGTTTCGTTCGATCCGCGGCCCAAGGATCAACTCCTTATCCCGCGACTCCAAAGCAGATGCTATAACCACTGCGCCACGCAGTTCTATTGGCCAAGAGTTTGGTAAACTTTTACAGAAGCTGGTCAATCTCCAAGGTCAAGAGGTTAGATATGTTCATACCCATAGAAATGCATGTCACAAGGAACACACAAGTGAAATATGAAAGCCATAGTTCCAACCAATCAAAAGTTACAGACAAAATTAATGTTTTTGCAGACGAAAAGCTAGAAACAAAGAGAGACAGGCATACAGATGGACGGGGAAAAACTATATACCCTCAATCTTCGATTACGGGGGCACAAAAAATTATGTTTACTAGTAATTCTACAGTCAACCAGATAATCCGATGGTTTAAATGTCGTGATATTAGGTATGTTTTTTTTATCGGTGATTTCAACTCAAAATGCAGTGTGCATTTATACTGAAAGGAAGAAGAAACGCAGGGTAGCATAATATTCGAATTTTTTTTTTTGACCGTATGACCGAAAATTACAAAAATTGGTCAGTTGAGAAATTAAGTTACTATGCACCAAAATCTGAGTTCAGAATTACTCAACCGTAAAATGTATGACGTCACGTTGGGAAAACGCTAAAAAGCCCAAAATATGGTGCAGTTTGATGACGACGAGTTTGTCAACAAATCTTGTTGCACCATTTGATGCACCCGAGTTGTACACATTGTTTTTCAATACTGTATTTAGAAACGATATGAATTTCTTGCAATCTTTGTACAGTTTACGGAAGATTCATGGGGTCTGGTTTTCGAAATGCCTAATTACTGAAAAAGGCAACAACGGGCAATAACTAAGCCGTTTCTTATAAATCCCCCCCCCCATAAAACTTGTTACCCGTTGTCAGAGAGGGCCTGGAATTGTTTTTAATCAACCGTGACGATGACAATAACGCGAAACAGAGTCATGTTACGAATGGGTTATTCGTCCTACCATCTCTTAAATCGCCACCTTACTGCCACAAAAAAAACGCCTTTTATACAGTAGACTATTATAATCATTACATTCACATGAAAAATGAAAGAAAACAATTCCGCAATTTGGTTTTGACCTCACCGGCGCATGCCAAAAAGTTTTTTGCGTGGTTACCCATGCCCAATATAGCCAGGATTTGAAAGATGAACACTCTGATGAATTCCATGCAAAAGAGAAACAAGGCTCATGACAGATGCGCGGGAGAGACATTCAAGATAATGAGAGCTCTCAATTTTCACTTTTGGGGGGTACCGTCATATGACCTATGATAACTGATGAATTATTATACAAAATCAAATGGGATTTTGGTTATATCTTTTTGAAAGTTTATTTTAAAAGTTAGATAGGAATACTGAAAAAATTAAAAGAAAAATAAATTTAATTCACTTAAAAAGTTTACCCTGCGTTTCTTTTTCCTTTCAGTATATTTAAAAAATAATAATCAAACGAAGTATGCAAGCCTGAAGTGAGTTGATCTAATATCAATAGGTCGGAACAATGCTGCCTTACACTATTAGGTGATAATTTAGAACAATGTTTACAATATACATATACATCTTTGTTTAAAATATAAAAGATACAAAGGGCTTTATTTATACTAAACGGTTTCTTCCGATCAAGAACACAGCGTGTATTTTTCGACCAAATCTATTTTCTGACTGCTTTTTGTGCTCTCATGACAACATACTAGTATTTTATTTCTTTATTAAAAAATTTGAAATTCTACCATAAAGCATTCATTATAGAATAAAAACTTTAAAAACAAAGGATAATACGGTGAAAAAGGCAACATTCTGCAAAGTCGGCCGACAGACAGCTTAACTGTATTGTCCGTGTGCATACGGACTACCACTGACTTTCCCCTGTATATATTGCGCAGCATCTTTGTTCGCGTATCAGACTTTAGCCTGAGACCACATTAAATGATGTATCGACTGCTGTTGGCTGTGGTGGGTTTAGCTAACCTTCCTTATATTCGCACCTGTTGCTCCCCAGATGTTCTCCAAGGCAATGCCATGTATTATGGATATATGGTCGAGGAAAAAGAGTCTTATCAGGTACGATCATATGTTTTAAAGATAGTACATTTTAATATTTTGATATAGGGCTCAATGTTTAATTTTGTAAGTTCAATATTGGCTTTAAAATAAAATTCAATCTTATGTAATGATATCAGTTTTGTATCATAAAAGAGCTCTATAATATCATATTCACCCTTAGAGCAGTTTAAAATTAAAGGTTTTTGCTTTTAGAATATGGTAAAATTTTACTACGATGCGGATAAAAAGAAAATAGCAACGATAACAACCAATATGGGGAACAGGACAGGACAGGTCAGAGATATATACGACTTCGCCGCAAGGAAACGTTACGTCATAACCGACAACAGCTCCTGTAACGTCACGAAACTGAAACGTTCCTTCGAGAAGATCTGCGTTCCGTCTAGCGCAAAGTTTATGGGTTCCGCTGACCTCGGAAACAGCGAGGCCAAAATGAGCGTCGATATGTACAGATTGAAAGTTAAAAAAGGTAAAATGTCTGGCGAGGCGGACATAATGGTGACGCCGATGGACGGTGGGAAGTGTACCTTGGTAGGAGTAGTGATGAGCGGGGGAAAGGACGGAGAAATTCAGATGGCGGAAACCTCTGTTTATATGAACTTTACGTTTGAAATATCTGACAAATCTGTATTCCAACCACCGAAGCAGTGCTATAGGAACAACGAAAGCGAAAGCCTCCTGTTTGAAGTTTTAGGAGGAATCCGAAGAGAAATTTACATCTTTTAGAATCCAAAAAGACTTTAATTTTGCAATCATTTCAATGCCACTAAAATGGAAAAAACAAATTTTATCTTAAAAAAAATTGTTGAACATTTTATGAGTAAAAGAGATAGGGAAAAAGTATTCGACTATTGTGATGTGAAGTTTTTCTTAGACCTTTAAGAAGGCACGCAATAAACTGTATGAATGTTACACCAACTGCACCCCCCCAACAAAAAAACCACCGATAATTAACGATTGTAGACTATTGTACATAGATCTTAATAGTCCATGTTGTTCCCGCATTTATTAATAGATATGTATATGGGATCGGATATATTTTGATTACTATAATTCCTCATTCGTATTTTGGTCTTTTCTTGTAAAACAAAGAATGCCATGAATATATATTGCCAATAACATATTTTTTGTCATGACTACTCACTCAGATAATAAAGAAATGAAATCATCCTGACCCTGTCTTTAATAATTTAGCATATTAGTGAATAAGGGTATAGTATACGTCCGCAATATATGGAATGCCACATAAACATATACATGTAGTTAGTATATTTAAAAATATTTGAACCTATCTTCAAATATTTCTATCTTTTTTTCCAAATTAATTGTAGACAGGTACAGTTGAATCAAAGATATGAGTAAATGTTTGAACCTTTCTTGCAATAAAAGAACCTAGGTTAAATTGATCGAGTTAAAATCATCTTTAACGAAGCCGAGTCTAATTAATTCTACCCTAGGTATTTTGATAATCTTTCGATAAATAATTTTTACTGTTATATTTATTATTTTAAAATTAAAAAATCGAACGTTTACCACCCCGATTTCTTAGCATTACAGATTGGTTCAGTTCAATGACAGATATGTTTCATTGAATTATAGTTATCTTTAAATCATTTGAAGATATGTATAATTAATTTCAAGATAGGTGCAAAGGATCTGAAGAAAGCTTCAATTCACTTATACCTTGGCTCAAATCAATTGCACCTATTGCTATCTGTAAATTAATACCTGTCGTACTTATCTTCGGCCTAAGGATGCAATATATACGTACCTCATGCAAAACTACAATGTATATATAAAACTGTTTAATTTTAGAAGAAATATAAGTGGAATGTCGTAAGATTAATTGCATATTTATTTTAAATCTAGAGGTTTCAATAAATATGTGTTGTATTGTCACATGTTTTAACGACGAATCAAACAGTGAAAATAGGATCCATCATTCGACCCTGATCACAAAAATACTCTATATTTTCTATAACGGGCTTCCGTACTAATCGATAATCAAAAAGCTGATCTGTTGCCTGTATAACAAATAAACAATAATGTTTTAGAGGTATTCATGAGTAAAACAAAATATACCTTGCTGTTGCTGAGTTTCAAATATGCTAAGTTTAAACTCTACGAAAAATCGACGAGTCATCACTAATTCGACAACAAAAAGTAAAGACACAAAATACAGTGGACTTCAAATTTGGCTATTTTCTCGAAATCCAGAAATCCTCGATCAATCGGGAATGTTCCAAACATGCTTAATGATTTGCTGGTTCTTCTATTACAAAGTACCTGTACCTCAGAAATAATAAGAAAGTAATAAACCATACCTTTGAATTAGATTTTTTTGTGGACAAATGTTTATATTTACATGTCCTCCTGTTTCCTGATACGCTAGTAAGGCAAGGTAATTTCATGCGTGTACATAGACAGGAGATAACAAGGTATTTTGTTTATTTATCATTCCTAGACTGTTTAATGAACCTGATATGTTAATATTACTCGACTGCTACACTACCATGTAAGAGAGAGAGAGAGAGAGAGAGAGAGAGAGAGAGAGAGAGAGAGAGAGAGAGAGAGAGAGAGAGAGAGAGAGAGAGAGAGAGAGAGAGAGAGAGAGAGAGAGAGAGAGAGAGAGAGAGAGAGAGAGAGAGAGAGAGAGAGAGAGAGAGAGAGAGAGAGAGAGAGAGAGAGAGAGAGAGAGAGAGAGAGAGAGAGAGAGAGAGAGAGAGAGAGAGAGAGAGAGAGAGAGAGAGAGAGAGAGAGAGAGAGAGAGAGAGAGAGAGAGAGAGAGAGAGAGAGAGAGAGAGAGAGAGAGAGAGAGAGAGAGAGAGAGAGAGAGAGAGAGAGAGAGAGAGAGAGAGAGAGAGAGAGAGAGAGAGAGAGAGAGAGAGAGAGAGAGAGAGAGAGAGAGAGAGAGAGAGAGAGAGAGAGAGAGAGAGAGAGAGAGAGAGAGAGAGAGAGAGAGAGAGAGAGAGAGAGAGAGAGAGAGAGAGAGAGAGAGAGAGAGAAAAAATCCGCGCCTGAAATGTTGCATGCACTGTTTCATGTTTCCGGGCACGGGCATCTGACTTACTTATTTTCCTTTTAAAAAATATATACCCCAAAACCTAATAATACTCGTAAAATTAGGTAGGGTTATATATGAATTTTTCTTTCAATTAAAGAAAATTAAATAAGTAATGTCAGATGCCTCTGTTTCCAGGATATATTAACAGATTAATATATCAGATTTATTCATAACAAATCACGCATTTCCCCTTTTTTTGTCTCATAAAAGGAACAACTGGTTTGCGGCCGTTTTGACAATATGTTTCTTTTTAATGTTCGATATGACTACTACATGTAGATACTTTGTTCTTTTTTCAACTATTTTCAAGTGCAAAAACACACTTCTTTTAAAAACTTTCATATCAAATAACTGACCGCCTCCTGGTCTCTGGTAATAAGCATAAGAATCTTAGTCATTAAAAAGCTGAGTATTACATTTTAAATTATTCGAATATTTGGTAAGAGTATTCTTATGTTTTATTAAGTACTTTTTATTTACAGGTATGACACTCTTCCGTCAGTCCACTATATATTATGTCGGTATTTTGGGAAAAATGCGTATTTTAAAAAATATTTTATAGAAACATACTGACTATTAATATTTACAATCAAACATAATTCAAAACTTATGAAAACTACAAATAATGGATTGAAAAATGTTACCCAAAGAAAAAAAATAACTTACCTATCATCAAATAAATTTATTTAAATAATTTTATTTATACACTCTTCACCATTTTAAGGTACACTTTTTCTAAGAAGAATTTTGATTTTTGAATATATATGTACATGTTTTCGATTCTATGTTTGCATTGCAGGACGGAATTTCACCGCAAATAAACCCCATCGATAACAACAATGGATATTCCCATGTCACTTAATTTTTCATCACACTGTTCGTCAGGAAATATCGCAAAACGTTTGTTTTTGAGGGTATGACTAAAAACTTCTAGAATTCAATTTTCCAGAGTTATCTCTCTTTTGTTAATTGGTAGAAAAAAACAAGGTTGATACACAAACACACTTGCGGGCTCGTTAAAGGTTAGAAACAAAAATAAAAATCACTAGATGCAAATATACATATACGTAATATTAATATAATTTAATTTAGCACAACGACTATTTAACTACTAGTATGCATAATTTGAAAGAGATATTTGAAAGATTAACAGTTGATTTTTAATTTGTCTTTAACTATAAATCTAGATTTTCAACTCATACAAACATTTCCTAGTATTTAAGCATTGAATCATTATTTTATGAAAATTATATTCTCATAACTGCGACGGTGTGTGCAAACAAACTGAGTAACGTGCGTTAACATTAACGTCCTTTTCAAGTAAAATATCTAAATATGAAATTGATGTGTCCGATTCTGTGGTTATTTTTTTTTATTTCAAGCTCACCTGGATATATCGTATCGACATAAAAATGGAATTATAACCATTGTCGATGGAAAATACGTCTTCGATATCTAAATGTCGAGTTGAAGGCCACAGCAAGTGTTTTCTTCTTTTCACATATTAGATTTTTGACAAATTCTGCTGCATACGGATACAAAAATAGGTCTGCTTATAACGGGTAATAATTGATATCCATTCGATTGTTGGGAAAGCAAGTATCCAAAAACCACATAGATACATGTATATTGTCAATCAGAAACTCAAGCATCTTTTTAATATCAACTTCAGAGTACTTGTGTGTACAATCAGAATGTTTTTAAAAAAATATTTACATTTACTGACTGAGTTCGAGGGCAACACGCGTTTTGTTTGATCCACGAACAGAACTGTTTGTCTGAGGCCGTTAGGCCGAAGGCAGACAGTTTGGTTTGAGGGTCGACAAAACTCATTTTGCCCGATAAAACAGTCAATAAATGTTTTGTTATACCTTTTATTTTAATATTTTTTTGACACACATGTATCTCTTACTGTCTTCCGTGATGTAAACCTCAGATCCGTCACTGTTAAACATGAGGTTAAGCTCCGTCCATTGTGTGACGTAAGCGGTCCAACATATCATCGACAGGTCCAACATCACTTTTTTTTTCTTTAAAATGTATTTTTCATTTATGTGAGAATTCAATTCTTTCGTTGCTCTCTGGTAACCCTGTCATTTGCACACACATATTGTGTAAAAATCACATCCAAATATTGTTTTTAGCATTCACCTGTAGGATATATAACTAAAATTCACATTTACGCTTTCTTAGATAAGTTCATTGATGAAAAATATGGAGATAACGAACAGTATTCAAGATCAAGAGTCCACAAAACACTACAAAACAGGAACAGAGCAAACACGGACCTCCAAACCATCAGAGGTGGGAACAGGTGCCATGGAGGAGTGAGCATCCCCTGCCGACTAGTCACACCCACTGTGTGCTCCTTGTCATGATCGGGAAATAAATCAAATAACGGAATAATCCGTCGTCAATTCAGTGTATAAAGTGTATAAATAATAGGCTAACATTTGGTATGAAAAACGTCATTCAACATTTGACTCAATGATAAATCGATTTGCTGACAAGGTCACTGTATCGACCATAGAACTCACGAAATTATTATTTTAAACGAGACTGCTGATATTCTTGTTTCATCAACTTTTTTCTCAACAGTTTACCTAGTTGTAGAAATTGTTCATACGAAGAGCATGCGCTTGCGTATTTAAACAACTGAGATATGTAAACTTCGTAGGCAGGTGAAGAAGGTATATTGCTGCGTAAGTAAGGGAAGTTGACGATAGAAAAGTTAAAGTCATCACGTTAATCATAGAGCTTGGTTGTTAGATTATCATTAACGTCTTTTTCAAGTTAAATATCCAAATATGAAACAGATGTGTCAGACTCTGTAATATCTTTTATCTCAAGCGCACCAGGATATACTAGTATCGTATCAACATAAGTATGGAAATTACCATTGTTAGTTGACAGTACGTCGTCGATATATCTATAAATGTAAGTGTTTTCTTTTCGTGCATAAGATTTTGCACAAATTCTGCTTTGTATAATATAATTGATATACTGAACCTTACCAACAAAGAAATGTTTTTACCTGCTTTGTCAGCAGGGACTAGTACATAATGACAGCGTAATCCATCTACTTTTTAGCTCACCTGAGCCGAAGGCTCAAGTGAGCATTTTTACAACATTTTGTCCGTCGTCTGTCCGTCTGTCTGTAAACTTTTCACATTTTCAACTTCTTCTCAAAAACAACTGTGCCATTGTTAACCATAAACTTGGTACAAAGCATTTTTGGGTGAAGGGGAGTTTAAATTGTAACAAGCAAATTCAAAGAATTGTGGTCCCCCGCTTTCGGTGTCTTTGTGAATAGGATGTTATTTTTATGACATATTGTGTCTAATATGAACACCCTATCATGTGTAATTTATTTAGAAATTATCACTGAAGTTGATTTTTTTTTTAAAATAAGGTCACATGAAGGTCAAGGGTAAAGAAATCATAGCATGCTCGGAATAATCTTGTCACAGGTAATGCACATGTCATATATGAAAGCCCTATCTCCTCTCAGTACATGTAGAAGGAACATGATGTGTTTGTTAAACACTGATGACCCCAAATGGCAACATAACGAAGGTTAAAATTTTCTTAAATGCAAATTAAATATATTATTTCCCAAAGTAGGGTTTTTCTCACAAGAAATACGATTGTGAAATACAAATTAAAATCCCTAGCACCACCTGTTCAAAAGTTATAGTCGAGGATAAATTTTTGAAAGGTAGGTCAAACTCCAAGGTGAAAGGGTCTGAGTTGTTGGTTTATTAAGAAAGGTCTTGTCACAAGTAATACAAAAAGTGAAGATTGAAATCCCTAACCCAACCGTTCAAAAGTTATGGCCAAGGTTAAAGTTTTTTAAAAATAGGTCAACTCCAAAGTCAAGGTCAAAGGGTTAGAGTTCTTGGTATCCAATGAAAGGTCTTCTCACAAGGATTACATATGTGAAGTATAAAAAGCCTAGCCCTTATCATTCAAAAGATATGGTCAAGGTTAAAGTTTTTTCATAAGTACATAAATCTCCAAGGTCAAGGTCAAAAGGTCAAAGTTGTTGGTATCCAATGAAAGGTCTTGACACAAAAAATACATATGTGAAATATGAAAGGCCTAGTACCTACCATTCGAAAGTTATGGCCAAAGTAAAAATTTGGAATTTTTGTGTAAAAGTGGGATAAACTCCAAGGTCAAGGTCAAAAGGTCAAATTTTGTGGTACCCAAAGAAAGAGTTTGTCACAAGGAACACACATATGAAATATGAAAGTCATAGCTCCAGTAAATTAAAAGTTATGGGCAAGGTTAAAGTTTTTGTGACGGACGGACAGACGGATAGACTGACGGACAGACGAATGAGATTTAATATTCCCTCGCTTACGCGAAAGCGGGGGACAAAAATGAAGGGCCAAGGCCCCTTACAAGGGGAGATAATCGAGAAAAGACAAAAATAGTGTGGGGTCATTAAAAATCTTCTTAAGAACCACGGGGCCAGAAAAAAATGAAATTTATGTGGAAACATCATGAGGTAGTGCAGATTCTAAATTGTTCAAATCATGACTCCCGGGGGTAGGGCGGGGCCACTATAGGGAATCCAAGTTTAACATAGAAATATATAGGAAAATAAATTAAAAATAAATCTTCTCAAGAACCATTGGCCAGAAAAGCTGAATTTTATGTTGAAGCATTCTGGGGGTAGTGTAGAATGATTCTAATTTGTTCAAATCATGACCCACGGGAGTAGGGCAGGGCCACATTTTAATTTGGAATCCAAGTTTTACATCGAACAATATAGGAAAAAACTTTTAAAATCCTCTTCTCAGGAACTGCTGGGCAAGAAAAGCTGAAACTTATGTGAAAGCATCCGTGTGTAGTGTAGATTTTAAATTGTCCAAATTATGACCCGTGGGGTAGAGTGGGGTCACAATAGGTATTACTAGGGGGAATCTGGTAAAGAACAGCATGGTCAAAGCTACTCGGGTGAGCGATGTGAACCATGGGCTTCTGTTTTTTTTTTTACTTCTGAATAACTGATTCAGAAGGATAGCTGGTTTTCACCCCCCCCCCCCTCCAATCTCTAAATGCGAGATTTTATCATAGAATTAATCCGATACATTTTATCCATTCTGACAACGTGTGAAGATCTTCTTTGCCCATCGCCTGGCGTAAACTTTAACAGAGTCCACCATATTTATGACATTATGATGCCAATTAAAAGATAGGGGTTCTCTAAATTTTGGGCTTTTAACAATAAGTGATCTAAAGTCCACATTATATACTCTATTTACGTCACCAGTAATAACGTGTCAAGCAGGACTTTAGTTGTAGGGTGAAGAATGATAGTTGGTTTTCATTTTCCCACTCAATCGCTTAATGCGAGATGTTAACATACAGCTGATACATTTAATCCATTTTGACAACGTGTTAAGATTGCCCATCTCCTGGCGTAATCTTTAACAGAATCCAATATATTTATGACATCATGATGTCAGTTAAAAGATAGAAGTTCTCTAAATTTTGGGCCTTTGACAATTAGTGATCTAAGTCCTCATTATTTACTAAATTAACATACCAGTATAATAACGTGTCTAGTAGGACTATAGTTATAGAGTGAAGAAGAACATGAACAGGATTGAAGATTACTTAGTATGTTTCAAATTTGCATGTTATAAAAATTTGGAATCAATTGTCGATGTATATATTCAAGTTTAAAATAATCAAGTAGATTTAAGTAATCATATCTTTACTGAATGCCAAAAGCCTTAAATATTCGGAAAATAAAGATAAGATGCAGGTCAGGAAAATGTTCTACCAAGAACCTTTCTTTACTCCTCACATAAACAGTTGTGTAGGAAAAACCTCAGACGAATTGCGCTATAACACATTTGAGAAGGCTGAAAATCAAATTTGGATTTTCAAAATCTTAACTTTTAGAAATTTTGCGACAAGTTTTTTTTCTTGCAAATTAACAGCATTAAAACATAACTTTCTCACACTTTATACAGCTATTCTTCAGTTTTCAAAATTTTAATGATTTTATATATACCAAAAAACAGAAAATTCATAATAATGCAGAAGGCTTATATTCTTATGCTAGCATTGGGACATTAACTCTACATTGTTCTTAGCATGTTGTCAATATAGTAGTCAGTATACTGTACATCGCTGATATAATCTTTAGAAAATAGTATATGATATAAACAAAATGTTGTCTTAATATTATTCAAAGATCATGGAGCATTTGTCTCATATTTTCAAATCTTTTCACAGTGATTCACCGAATTAGCACTAATGAATTAGCAAATGAATGCCGATTGTACATATATATTCAAATGAGCACATGTTTTTAAGATTTAAATCCTTATTTTAAAGGCATGTAACTGTACGTGAAAATGAGGCACAAATTTCAGTTGTGTATTATTCTGGCATTCCTTGGGGATGTCAAATATTGAGGAATTTGAGATGCTGTCCGTTGTATTGTAGAGAATTGCTGACTCCCTCGCGACCAATTTCGAGCCTTTCTTAGCGAAGATCATTTCTGACTGTAGAACGCAGCGTTCTTCCGTCAGAGGAAAGACCATGGCATCCCCTGTGATGTCGAAGTCCGGATTGGAGTAGTTCACGCTGTATAGGTCCATCAGGATCGTGTCATTTCCCAGTCCCAGAACCATCTTGTTCTTGTAATTTGACGGAGAAACGCACAGTTCTCGATTAAAGTCCCCCTTCAGCGGCGTAACGTTACATGTTCCATTAAGAACCATGTACCTTTTTCCACCAGCGTAATCTTCAAGGACGAATAAGGTCATGGCCCCGGCCTTCTCAAACGTTATGTAAACATCCTTGGCAAACTTTCGCTTAACCTCATCGTGGTATATCTTGGAATAACCCTATAAAAATAAAATTTACATCCCGATTGGATTACAGGTCACTGCACATTTTAATTAAGTTATTCTTATTTTCTTGATTTAAATAAGTGTTTCAACCCCTATAGGTTTACATTTGTTTCAATTATCTTGATTTCAATTTATGAAATTCTGTGGATGCAAAGTTCCAATAATAACAAAAAACAAAGGATAAATTTGTAAGGTTTAGCAATCATAACATATTTATATTAATTTTCTATATCTAACTTTGAAATAATTTATGCATCTCATGAGGCAGCAAACTTTACAGGTCATTGTTCATAAAAAATCAGAGGACTTACAGAATACGGGTCATTTGAGTCGTTCAAGAACATGGATTTTGTAACCGTGACACCTCCAGCGACGGTGATTCCCTCCAACTGAGGAGGGGGGCAGCAGCCATGTACAAACCCGACCAATACCAGAACAGGTGCCCAGGAACACGTCAGCATCGTCATTGTTATTAAATATGACACGTTTTGTACCGGACATTTTTTATTTTAATAACTTTTCAACTTCAGCTCCGCCTCCAACGTCCCTTCTTTATTTCTGATATGTTCTCAGTTTCTTGATTGATAGCAAAATGTCACGTGATAAATACTTTGAACATATATACGAGTATTTATGTAGTTTTTTTTGTAGATAATCTGTTAAAAGTGTAAAAGATATTTTATAAAAGTTTTAGTCATTAATGATGTCATTCTACTTTGTTCAGTCTTCTGAGATAAGAAAATGAAAATGCTCTTCTTAAACTAGGGAAAAAACATCCCAGACAAACAGTAGCTCATTCACCGAAGCTTATAATTAGTTTAGCAAACCAGAATTTAAAAGGATGAGCTGCACGTTTCCAGCTTAAGATTTAAAGGGAAATGCAATAAAAAAGATATTCAAGCAATTCAATATATGATCAACATAATTCTAATTTAAGATTACATTTTATTTAACATTGTCGATCACAAACATGTCGATTATGATAAGATTAGCACCATGTGCTTAAATGTTATTTAAAACTGCTGATAAAAATTAAATATAGAGTTTATTTAAGGACAGATGTTACAAGCAAAAATTTTGACAATTTTGGTTGTATATATGCTGTGATTAATAAAATCTCTAAAATATCAAGAAATGGTAAACGTTTACATATATACTTATATTCAAAATTATACTTTTTCTGTTAACATCGTTATTAATTTACAAAAACACTGTACACAATTTTTTGTCACTTACAGTATGCAGTAAAACTTATTCGATCATTATACATCTATAATACGACCTGAGCAAAATTTTGATGAAAGTTTGTGTCGTGTGATCTGAATAGAAAAAAGGCTTTGCTTTATTGGTGCGGCTTTCCGAAAGGCTTTTCGCGGAAATCTGCACACTTAACCTTAATTAGTCCTACCTTAGCAATTTGCAAACTGTACGATTTTTATACTGAATGATACATTGTATATCTTTTCAAGGGCATTTAAAAATAAACAATTTTCCGTTTGCTAGGAGACTCCTTTCTTACTGATTGTGCAGTTTTCTCAGCGAACACTTTTACCCTTTTAACATCTTGGCTTTCCTGCACAATAGGGGTTTTATATTAATTTAAGGAGAAAAATGAAAAATTAACTGATTTTAAGACAGTGTTTAGCTCACCACTTCCAATTAAATCTCTATTTCTATCAAACATAACAGACATATTTAAAAGTTAAAAAAGAATCAATCTTCAGAACTTGACCTTCCAGAGAAGTTTTTTTAGGAGAAAGTTAAAGAAAATTCTTTAATTTATGCATAACTACAACTTAAATGCTTATATTTGTACTTCTCTTAGAAAGTAAATTGGAATAGACACACTATAGTTATGGCATGACTGTCGGAAATTTCTTCTTTTTTTCTTTCCGAGATTTACTGTTCTGAAGCTTACATTCTACAATACATGTCATGAAAAAGTCGATAGAAAGATTAATGATATCGTTCAAATAATGAAAAGTAAAAACTGAAGATAAAAACGGTGACAAATCTTATATATCTAGCTAAAAATCCGAATTATGAAGTGAACAAAAACCATTCGACGCCTGTAAACACCCGAGGTGGGGTCACGTGTCTCGGAGGAGTAAGCATCTCCTGTCGCCCTGTCAACCACCGTGAACCTTTTGTATTCTTCAGGGGAAAGGTGTTTTCTGTTATCACAATGATATTAAAACAATGGATGGAAACACGTCAGTCGAAATACAAATGCAACCCTGCGATAGGTTGTTTTTGCAAACAAGGTAATCATCAGAAACCCCAGAGTCAGCCAAAAAAAAAGCCAAAACCTGACTTCAAACAAGATATTTAAAAAAAAATTACATTTGTACGGTCATTAATTTATTCTGCTTCTGTTCAAAATGCATTATACTTGGACCATGCTCTAAAGTATCTAATCAGGTTGGTAGACATAAACACAATGGTGAAGGTAATTGTTGATTATTCATAAATAAAAAAAAATAGTAAGTTGACGGTGGAAATCCAGTTTACTCGTTTGTCATATAGCTTATATATTTGTCAAGAGTCTGGACAATATAGAACTATGAAGCAGATGTGACAAGGAATTCAACAATTACCTCTTTTTAAGTCATCATTTCTTAAATTCTATGTTGTTTATAATGACCATATTGGCAGTTATTACCTATCATTATGTTTGACTGATTTGATTCATACTAAATGTTAGGCCATTGTTTGTATATTCGTTTTGACGACGAAATATAATCTTGATCATGTCGGACATTCGGCGGTCGTGACCGGTAGATAGTGGATGCTTACTCCTTCTTGGCACCCGATCCTACCCTGAGAATTTCCAATGGTCTGCATTTTATACCCTTTTATGTATTTGTTCTCTTTGTTCATTTTATTCAGATCGAGAAATACTAGTATTCGTTGTAATCAGCTATTAAATAAATAAATATGTATATATAATGTTTTTAATCAAACGTCGAGTTGGGCGTCCAAGGACAACTTATCTCAAGTCATATGAAGGGGAAATCAGACAGTGTGGACATAGCTGGGGAAAAACTGAAAAGGCTGCTCAAAACAGAGTGCGATTGAGAACGGTTGCTCAGGCCCTACCTTACACCAGGAAACCAAAATGTGATTTTTAAATATACCAGAATATTCACAATTATGTAAAAAGCTTACATTCGTATGCTAGCATTTAGTCAATATCGTAGTCAGTATATTGTACATCGCTGATAATTATAATCTTTAGAAAATACATGTAGTATATGATATATAGACAAAAGGTTGTCTTAATATAATTCATCTAAGATCACGGAGCATTCGTCTCATTTTTTCAAATCTTTTCAAAACGTTTCACTGAATAAGCACTAATAAATAAGCAAATAAATGCCAATTGTAAAACATGCCAACATATATATTTTCAATTTAAGCCCATGTAATTAAGATCTAAATTCTTATTTTAAAGTCTTGTAACTGTACGTGAAAATGAGGTACAAATTTCAGTTGTGTATTATTCTGGCATTCCTTGGGGATGTCAAAAATTGAGGAATTGGAGATACTGTCCGTTGTATTGTAGAGAATTTTTGACTCCCTCGCAACGAATTTCGACCCTTTCTTAGCCACGATCATTTCTGATTGTAGAACGCAACGTTGTTCTGTCAGAGGAAAAACCATGGCATCCCCTGTGATGTCGAAGTCCGGCTTAGACATAGAGTAGTTCACGCTGTATAGGTCCATTTGGATTGTTTCATTTCCCAGTCCCAGAACCATCTTGTCCTTGTAATTTGACGGAGAAACGCACAGTTCTCGATTAAAGTCTCCCTTCAGCGGAGCTACCCTACATGTTCCATTAAGAACCATGTACCTTTTGCCACCAGCGTAATCTTCAAGGACGAATAAGGTCATGGACCCACCCTTCTCAGACGTTATGTAAACATCACTGGCAAACTTTCGCTTAACCTCATCGTGGTATATCTTGGAATAACCCTATCAAGATAAGATGCATTATGCATTTTTATTTGTTTAAATTATCTTTATTTCAATTTATGAAATTCCGTGCATGCAAAGTTTCAATAATAACATAATCAAAAAATAAATAAAGATTTACAGTATACTTAATATTTATTTTCTATGTCTTACTTGAAATAATTAAATAAATGCATCTCATTATGCGGCAAATTTTACAGGTCCTTGTACATAAATAAAATCAGACGACTTACAGAATACGGGTTAAAGATGGATTTTGTAACCGTTACTCCTCCACCGACGGCGATTCCCTCCAACTGAGGAGGGGGGCAGCAGCCCTGTACAGTCCCGACCAATACCAGGAGAAGTGCCCACGTCAGAATCGTCATTGTGGTTACATTGAAAAAGTTTTGCAGCGGATTTTTTTTAGTTTTTATAACTTTTCAACTTCAGCTCCGCCTCCCTCGTCCCTTCTTCATTTCCGAAATGTTCTCAGTTTCCTGATTGATAGCAAAATGTTACGTGATAAATGTACTTTGGACATACGTACTTATGTAAAGTTTCTTGTGGATCATATGTGTAAAAACCCTTTACATATATTTTGTAGAAAATTGTAGTCATAATTATCTCCTTTGTTCCCTAGGGATATCTTACTGAGAGGAGAATTTAAAATTGCTGATTCTTAAACAAGGGGAAAACATCCCAGACAGTAGCCAATTCACCACAGCTTTATTAGTGTAGCCTAAGCAGAATTCAAAGGATGCGCTACACGTTTTCCAGCTTAAGATTTAAAGGGAATTGTAATAAAAGGATATCCAAGAAATTAAATAGATGAGCAACAGAATTTTCATTTATAATTACATTTTATTTAGCATTGTCGATTATGATCAGATTTGCACCTGGAGCTTTATTGTCGTTCAAAACTGCTGAAAAAAATTTAAAAAAATATGGTGCTTATTTAAGGACAGATGTTACAAGCAAAAAATAAATGCCTTCCATGGACCATATGTTTTGAACTATTTTGGTTGCATATGACGCGATTAATAAATCTCTAAAATACCAAGAAATGTTAAATGTTTTCTTATACTACTAGTACTAGTATTCAAAATGACACCTTTCTGCAACATCCTTATTTATCTTTTAAAAAATGTACACAATTTTTTGTCACTTCAAATCCATAAAATCTGTGCAGTAAAACGTTTTCATTTTACTTTATATAAACATGACTTAAGTTGTTCTAAATTTTGATAAAAGCCTCTTTGCATCGTGTGTTCTTAATACAAAAAAGGCTTTGCTTTATTGGTGTGGTCTTCCGAAAGGCTCGCCGAGGAAATCTGCACACTTAACCTTAATTAGTCCTACCTTAACAATTTGCAAACTGGACGATTTTTATACTGAATGATATATTGTCATTTCAAGGGCATTTAATAATAAACAACTTTCCGTTTGCGAGAAGACCTTCTCTCAACCGATTGTGCGTTTTTTTTCAGCGAACCCTTTTAACCTTTTAACATCTTCTTGACTGTCCTGCACAATAGGGATGCTATATTAATTCAAGGAGAAAAAGTGAAAAATTAACTCTAATTGACTCCTTTTAAGATAGTATTTAGATCATCACTTCCAATTAAATCTTCATTTCTCTCAAACATGACAGACATATTCAGAACACAATGCAAGTTTAAATAAAAGAATCAATCTTCAGATCTTGACCTTCCAGAGAAGTTTTTTTTAGAAGAAAGTTAAAGAAAATTCTTTAATTTATGCATAACTTTTACTTCTCTTAGAGAGAATGAATTGGGAAAGACACACTAGGTATGCCATGAGTGTTGAAAATCTTTTTATTTTCGCTTTTCTGTTCTGAAACTAATACATCCTAGAATACATGCTAGGCAAAGTCTAAAGGAAGCAAAATAATATCATTTAAATAATGAAAAGGAAAAACTGAAAATAAAAATGGTGACAAATCTGATATATCTAGCTAAGAATCCGAATTATGAAGTGAACAAAAACACAATCGACGCCTGTAAACACCCGAGGTTGGGTCATGTGTCTCGTAGGAGTAAGCACATACTGTCGCCCAATCAACCGACCTGAACCTTTTGTATTCTTCAGGGGAACGATGTTTTCTGTAATCACAATGATATTAAAACAATGAATGGAAACACGTCAGTCGAAATACAAATGCAACCCTGCGATAGGTTGTTTTTGCAAACAAGGTTATCATCAGAGTCAGCCAAAAAAAAAAAGAAGCCAAAACCTGACTTCAAACAAGATATTTTAAAAAATTACATTTGTACGGTCTTTAATTTATTCTGCTTCTGTTCAAAATGCATTATACTTGGACCATACAGTGGTCTAATCAGGTTGGTAGACATAAACACAATGTGAAGGTAATTGTTGAATATTCATAAATAAAAAAAAAATAGTAAGTTGACGGTGGAAATATCCAGTTATCTCGTTTGTCATATAGCTTATACATATGTCAAGAGTCTGGACGATATAGAACTATGAAGCAGATGTGACAAGGAATTCAACAATTACCTCTTTTTAAGTCATCATTTCGTAAATTCTATGGTGTTTATAATGACCATATTGGCAATTATTACCTATCATTATGTTTGACTGATTTGATTCATACTAAATGTTAGGCCATTGTTTGTATATTCGTTTTGACGACGAAATATAATCTTGATCAAGTCGGACATTCGGCGGTCGTGACCGGTAGATAGTGGATGCTTACTCCTTCTTGGCACCCGATCCTACCCTGAGAATTTCCAATGGTCTGCATTTTATACCCTTTTATGTATTTGTTCTGTTTGTTCATTTTATTCAGATCGAGAAATATTCGTTGTATTCAGCTATTAAATAAATAAATATGTATATATAATGTTTTTAATCAAACGTCAAGTTGGGCGTCCAAGGACAACTTATCTCAAGTCATATGAAGGGGAAATAAGACAGTGTGGACATAGCTGGGGACAACTGAAAATGCTGCTCAAAACAGAGTGCGATGGAGAGCGGTTGCTGAGGCCCTATGTTACACCAGGAAACCAAAATGTGATTTTTAAATATACAACAAACCAGAATATTCACAATTATGTAGAAGGCTTACATTCGTATGCTAGTATTTAGTCAATATATATTTGTACAGTATATTGTACATTGCTGATATAATCTTTACAAAATAGTACATAAGGTTGCCTTTATATAATTCTTCTAAGATCACGGAGCATTCGTCTCATTTCTTTCAAATCTTTTCGAAAAGTTTCACTGAATAAGCACTAACAAATTAGCAAAGAAATGCCAATTGTAAAACATGCCAACATATATATTTTAAATTTAAACACATGTATTTAAGATCTAAATTTTTATTTTAAAGGCATGTAAGTGTACGTGAAAATGAGGCACAAATTTCAGTTGTGTATTATTCTGGCATTCCTTGGGAATGTCAAATATAGAGGAATCGGAGATACTGTCTGTTGTATTGTACAGAATTGCTGACTCCCTCGCGACGAATTTCGAGCCTTTCTTAGCCACGATCATTTCTGATTGTGAAACGCACCGTTCTTCCGTCAGAGGAAAGACCATGGCATCCCCTGTGATGTCGAAGTCCGGATTGGAGTAGTTCAAGCTGTATAAGTCCATCAGGATCGTGTAATTTCCCAGTCCCAGAACCATCTTGTCCTTGTAATTTGACGGAGAAACGCACAGTTCTCGATTAAAGTCCCCCTTCAGCGGAGCTACCCTACATGTTCCATTAAGAACCATGTACCTTTTTCCACCAGCGTAATCTTCAAGGACGAATAAGGTCATGGCCCCGGCCTTCTCAAACGTTATGTAAACATCCTTGGCAAACTTTCGCTTAACCTCATCGTGGTATATCTTGGAATAACCCTATTAAGACAAAATTTATTATGCATAATGATTTTGGTTTAAATCATCTTGATTTCAAATTATAAAATTCGATGCAAGCAAAGTTTCAATAATAACCAAAAAAGAAGAATAACTTTCGAAGGTTAAACAATCGTAAGAGATTTACAGTATACACTTATAAATATTCATTTTCCAGGTCTTACTTCAAATAGTTCGTGCATATATATATATGCAACAAACTTTAAAGGTCCTTGTACATAAATAAAATCAGTGGACTTCTCAAATAGTTCGTGCATATATATATATGCAACAAACTTTAAAGGTCCTTGTACATAAATAAAATCAGTGGACTTACAGAATACGGGTCATTTGTCTCGTTAAACATCATGGATTTTGTAACCGTTAATCCTCCTGCGACGGCGATTCCCTCCAACTGAGGAGGGGGGCAGCAGCCCTGTACAAACCCGACCAATACCGGAACAAGTGCCCAAGAACACGCCAGCATCGCCATTGTGGTTATATTTAAAACGTTTTGTAGCAGACATTTTTTTTATTTTTATAACTTTTCAACTTCAGCTCCGCCTTCCTCGTCCCATCTTCGTTTCCGAAATGTTCTTAGTTTCCTGATTGATACAAAATGTCACGTGGTAAATTTATTTTGGACGTACGTACTTATGTATAGTTTCTGGTAAATAATCTGTCAAAAATCTTTACAGATATTTTATAGAAAATTGTAGTCATCATTATCTCTTTTGTTCCCTAGGGATATTTTCTGAGAGGAGAAAAGTGAAAGTACTGCTTCTTAAACAATGGGGAAACATCCCAGACAGTAGCCAATTCACCAAAGCTTTATTAGTGTAGCCTAAGCATAATTCAAAGGGTGAGCGACACGTTTTCCAGCTTAAGATTGAAAGGGAATTGTAATAAAAGGATATTCAAGCAATTCAATATATAATCAACATAAATTTCATTTTATGATTACATTTTATTTAGTATTGTCGATCATAAACATGTCGATTATGATCAGATTTGCATTATGAGCTTAAACGTTGTTCAAAACTGCTGATAAACAATTAAAATATGGTGCTTATTTAAGGACAGATGTTACAAGCAAAAACTAGATGCCTACCATGGCACATATATTTCACCTATTTTGGTTGCATATGATGCGATTAATAAATCTCTAAAATATCAAGACATGATAAACGTTTTCTTATATTTAAAATTACCCTTATACCTTTCTGCAAACATCCTTATTAATCTATTAAAAAAAATCTATACGATTTTATGACACTTCATATCTATATAATCTACGCGGTAAAACTTATTCATTTTACTTGTACAAGTTGTTTTAAATTTTGATAAAATTTTGTTTGTATCGTGTGTTCTTTTAAAAAAGGCTTTGCTTTATTGGTATGGACTTCCGAAAGGCTCGTCACGGAAATCTGCACGCTAAACCTTTATTAGTCCTACCTTAACAATTTGCAAACTGGACGATTTTTTAAACTGAATGTTATGTTCTAAATTCACCAGTTCAAACGAACATAAATTATTTATAAATAAAACTCAAAAACACTTTATAGAGGATGAGCTCGCATGCGCGAGTGCAACAGACTTTAATGAAGAGTATACAGTATACAAAGCACAGTCTTTAGTTTAACTTCTGAAATCCAAATCATTCTACAAAAGAAAAAGAAACAAATAAAGCGACAGTCAACATTAAAACGAACATTTTAACATGTTCAGTATATCGATCATACTGAAAGGGGTGGGTGGGGTGGGGGATAAGTCTGTTGCAATGTAGCAGCGAACTTCGAATAACTTAAAACATCCGAAAATCTACCTTATACGTGACTGAATCATGCGTAGCACGGATTCAACCTATTCACCCGTAAACAAATCGACCAACCAATCGATCTCCTTTATCGATGGACTTAATCTGCATACAAAACAAACACACGTGTTTTACCATAACTTTTATAAATATATTTATGTTCTAAATTCACCAGTTCAAACGAACATAAATTATTTATAAATAAAACTCAAAAACACTTTATAGAGGATGAGCTCGCATGCGCGAGTGCAACAGACTTCGACGATAAAGAAAGCATTGACATGAAATTATCAAAACGTATATGACCCCACCCCTAGATATTAAGGCTTCAAGGTAATCCAATTATTACTTATTTCAAACCAGGCCTTGAATAATTGAAAATTATTAAAATGTCGCAGAATTCTTAAAGTGATGCGTATTTATTCACATTGATTATTCTTCAAACCTCATAAAGAAAAGTTAATATTATATAGGAGAATAAAAATATAACTTTTCAGTAATGCAAGTGAATTCACCTATTACATGCATTTTCAAAACGGTAATTTTTAACAATTAGATCTATATCTATGTTAAAAATTATAGGTTTCCAAGCAATTGAAGAAAACTGCACAGATTTTTATACTGAGTTGAACTCTAATTTCTTCAATGTATACTGCACAATTATCATTATGCATAAATACTGTAGTTTATAAAGCGTTTGCTATGAAAGCAAAACTTCATAAATCAATATAAATTTGTATCAAACTTTTAAAAATTGGCATTAAAGGCTAGATCGAGGACATTTGTATTAAAACGTTCAAAGAACTTTCAATTACATTAAGATTCATAAACGCTCAGTCTGCTCAATGGTATAAAATGTTGCTTGAACCTAATAATTTTCCAAAAAAGAATGTATTTATAAGTAAAAAACATTGAATTGGACAAAAAGACACTTCTATTTGCAAATCTATAAAGGAATATCAGACATTTATGTCATTCAGAGTTATCTCTCTTATCAGAGTATTAAAGACCCTTAAGTTGCATGAAATTCAATTTGTTGAATAAAAAGATTTCAATTTTTAGCTTCCTTTGGAGACTTTCATGACTTTTTGAATTAATCATTAAACTAAAGAGTTATCCTTCCCGACTGAAGAGTTTTCTTTTCCTTTTTACCATGAATTCTTCAGAAGAACTCAAAAAGCCTTCTACGTTGATTTTTATCAGTGAATCATACATATCAGCATATGCAGTTCAGATAGCAACCCCGTTGAAAGACTATGAAGAATGAAAAATTTTCTTCTATAAACTTAAAAGTTAGAGTGCTTACAGAATTCTCCGTTTCTTTTACAAAATTGTAACTTCCAGATACATAAGAATAACTTTTACAATACAAAATAAACTTAAATCAATAATAAATTATACTCATCTGATCAAACATTATTATTAACGTTTTCTAAACATCTCTTAGTGATTACCAAAAGGACAAATGAACTGAACTACACCTACCAGAATGTAAACATTATTCCTCTTTGATTTCGACTAAAGGTGATTTGTCCGAACCTTGATTTTAAACGCAGCTTTGGAAGTCTTCAGACAAATCCTTCAATGAAAATTTTGCAAAACATCTGGTCCGTGTGTCCTGACTAAAGATACCTGAAAAAACTTTTGCTCCAAAAATTTCAAAATCGGACTGTGATATCAAATTGCTTATTTATTCCTAAATTATTTTCTAAACGCTTAGAATCCAATCCAGCAGATCCTGTGATTATAAGAAGCACAGTTAATACTACATTCCAAACAATGTTAACTTTTTTGAAAATTTTAAAAATTTCAAAAATAATCTTTTGATCAATGTACATGATGAACCATTCAACCATTCCAGCTTCATCTAAGCTACTTACAGAATTTGAAAGCTTCTTGGCTGCATCATACTACATCTCAGACCATGCGAGATTCTTCAAGCTAGTAACTGAATTTTAAGTGGTTTCGTTTGTATCAAACCCTCTCAAACATGCCAGTTTCTTCAAAGTACTAACTGAATTCTATATGGTCTTGTCTGTATCAAACTACATCGCAAACCATGCAAGCTTCTTTAAGCTACATACAGAACTTGAACAGGGCCTTGTCTGCATCATACTACATCTCAAACCATGCCAGATTCTTCAAGCTACTACTGAATTTTAAGTGGTTTTGTCTGTATCAAACCCTCTCAAACATGCTTACTAACTGAATTTTATATGGTCTTGTCTTTGTAAAACTACATCTCAAACCATGCCAGCTTCTTCGAGCTACTTACTGAATTCTATATGGTCTTGTCGGTATCAAACTACATCTCAGACCATGCCAGCTTCTTCAAGCTACTTACAGAACTTGAAAAGGGCCTTGTCTGCATCATACTACATCTCAGACCATGCCAGCTTCTTCAAGCTACTTACAGAACTTGAAAAGGGCCTCGTCTGGTACTGAATTTTATCATCTCTAGACCATGCCAGCTTCTTCAAGCTACTTACAGAACTTGAAAAGGGCCTTGTCTGCATCATACTACATCTCAGACCATGCCAGCTTCTTCAAGCTACTTACAGAACTTGAAAAGGGCCTTGTCTGCATCATACTACATCTCAGACCATGCCAGCTTCTTCAAGCTACTTACAGAACTTGAAAAGGGCCTCGTCTGCATCATACTACATCTCAGACCATGCCAGCTTCTTCAAGCTACTTACAGAACTTGAAAAGGGCCTTGTCTGCATCATACTACATCTCAGACCATGCCAGCTTCTTCAAGCTACTTACAGAACTTGAAAAGGGCCTTGTCTGCATTATACTTCATGCCAGCTTCTTCAAGCTACTTACAGGACTTGAAAAGGGCCTTGTCTGCATCATACTACATCTCAGACCATGCCAGCTTCATCAAGCTACTTACAGAACTTGGAAAGGACTTTGTCTACATCATACTACATGCCAGACCATGCCAGCTTCATCAAACTACTAACAGAATGTCAAATGGGCCTTGTCTGCATCATACTAAATCTCAAACCATGCAAGCTTCTTCAAGCTACTTACAGAACATTAAAAAGGCCTTGTCTGCATCATACTACATACCAGATCATGCCAGCTTCATCAAGCTACTCACAGAACTTCATAAGGGCCTTGTCTGCAATACATTAATACATGTGGCATTAGGTCTTGCGAATATCATCATGAAATCGACTCTTGAGTATTTTCTTCATAACAGATAGAAATCACTTAATTAGGACGTATCAAATGCATAATCAATGCTATTATAAACACTGTCTTAAATCAATACTCTTCAACAAAATGATCTGAACCGAATCAGGCTATCATATTTATCAGCATAGGAATACATTATGTTCAAATTATGGAGCATCAATAATATGCATTTATCTTATGTTCTTCATTTCTACGTATTTGAAAATACAACGACCAGAATTTGGAGCATAAAAACCACTGTGGTTAAACAAAGGTTTTATTGAATAATTTTTTTTTTTTTTTAAAATAAAACGATGTTTCATCATTTTTTGAGTTTATATCAGGAACATCAGGAACTATATATTCAATATTACATGTACACTGTACATTATTTCCAAGATTCTAAAACTTCAGTGAAATGAAACTAGCCATATGCAGTTCTATGCAACAATAAGTCACAGAACAATTTAGAATTGAAAATTTTAGAACTGTTCGAACCATATCATGAAATTCATATACAATTAGCTTCCAAAATAGTGTCTCGTTACTATAAATTAGAAACAAAGGAACTTTGTTCATAATTGCTACCAAATACTAGTACCAAGCCATCATATGAATATAAAATTATATATACATGTACCAGGTACGTACGTGCACTAATTACTACCGTGACTTTACTAGAATTATAATCATTCTCAAGTAACACGTGTATATGTATTTATTATTATTATTTATTTTATTTATTTATTTATTTATTTTTTTTTTACAAAGCTAAATTCAAGCCGAAAAACGGACATTAATCTGTGTCCAAATGCTTACCAGATTCTCTGTTCTGCACGTGCCTCTATCTACTGATAGAGTCGTAGCCGTAGCTTACATAGTCTATGAGGCTTAGTAACAATGAAAGAAACAAAACTGGCAGAAGATTAGACGTTGACAAACGTTTTAATCACTCAAACTTTCAGGAATTACGATGAACAGAATAAAATTTTGTTGCCTTAATGCGAAAGACACAGAGTGAGCTTATATGGTCCCTTTTACCCTATCGTTAATAATATGAACAGTGTTTTTCAATTCAAATGTTAATTTTATACTTTCATTCTTCCTTTGAGAAAGTCGCAAATAAGAAATTACCAGTTTGTAGCTGCACCTTCAAATGTGCCAATTTTTCCCCACATGGAATCCATACGTGTCAGAGATGCCCGGAACCTCGGCTCTATTTGTTTGTGGATAATCAGCAACTGTTTCTACATGAAGCTAAGCGCTCATCTATTATAGACTGATTTCTATCTCCGATCTAAGCGAACATAAGTCTGTTGCAATGTAGCAGCGAACTTCGAATAACTTAAAACATCCGAAAATCTACCTTATACGTGACTGAATCATGCGTAGCACGGATTCAACCTATTCACCCGTAAACAAATCGACCAACCAATCGATCTCCTTTATCGATGGACTAAATCTGCATACAAAACGAACACACGTGTTTTACCATAACTTTTATAAATATATATATACATTGTATATCTTTTCAAGGACATTTAAAAATAAACCACTTCCCGTTTGTTAGGAGACCCTTTCTCTGACCTATTGTGTGGTTTTCTCAGCGAACACGGTTTACCCCCTCAACATCTTCTTGGTACAGATGATACAAACAATTTTTTTTCTTTGGAGGAGACTTAATATCATGTCTTAAGTTTAGGAAAGTGGATAATTCGTAGAATATTTTCTCCTAAGAACTGGAAAATGAAATAGACTTGAAAATATTAGTAATATTTCAATAAAATAACAAATAAAGACAAATCACACTCAATGAAGGTTTACAGGTGAAAACAAATTTCAGAATATGTTAGCTTGGTGTTAAAAGTGTGATATAAACTTTTTAAAAGTATACCAAGCCAAGTGAACTTTATGAGGAGAAACTAAATGACAAAAAATAGCAATATAACATAGGGCTGATTTTACCATTTAGATTTCCTTATAAAATCACCTGGCTTGGTATATTTTTCTAAAGTTTATATTACACGCTTAGCGCCATTCTAACTCATTCTGTAATTTGTTTCATCTGTAAACCTTTACTGAGTGTGTTTTGTCCATATTTGTAATTTTATTGAAATATTACTTCATATTTTCAAGTCTATTTCATTTTCCAGTTCTTAGGAGAAAGTATTCTCTATGAATTATCCACTTTTCTAAACCTGTGACATGATAGTAAGTCTCCTCCAAAGGAAAAAATTGTTTGAATCATCTGACCTTAAGGATAAAAATTGAGAAAAATAACTCTTATTGACTGGTTTTAAGATATTTTTTAGTCCATCACTTACAATCAATTATCTCAAACACGACAGACGCATTTTAAAGTTAAAAAAAAAAGAATCAATCTTCAAATCTTGATCTTCCAGAGAAGTTTCAAGTTTTCTAGAAAGAAGTTAACTCTTTCTTTAATGCATTAAATACAACTTAGATGCATATATTTGTACTTCTCTTGGAAAGGAAATTGGGATAGACACTTTAGATACGACTTGACTGTCGGAAATTTCTTTCTTTTCGTTACGAGAGTTACAGTTCTGAAGCTTACATCCTAGAATACATGTTACGGTAGATTCTATGGGAAGATTAATGGCATCATTCAAATAATGACATGTATTAAGTAAAAATAAATCTCATACATCTAGCTAAGAATACAAAGCGTAAACTGGACAAAAAACCAATCGACCCCAGAGATGGGGGTAGTTCTGTGGTTGTTTGCTTCATATATCGTCTACAGTCAGGCAAATATAAAAGTATGAAGTAGATGAACAGAATTCTATAGTGTCTTTTATTTCGAGTTTACTTGCACTGGTAAAATATCTAAATATGACCGAATAACGGACCATAGCAAGACCTACTAGTATTTCTCATTATCAATTAACAACAGTTACTTTCACTCCTATGTTGACTCGATTTATGCAAGTAAATATGAAATAAAAGATACCATAATGTCTGATATATCTGTTTCACACTTTGATATTTTCTAGAAAAAAAAAAACGATAATGTAAACATAACAGAAAAAGCTTTATGATAAACGTGATGACTTCAACTATTCTATCGCCATTGTCCTTTATTTATGTAGCAATGTGCCCTTTCACCTGCACATGGAGTTTATTTCTCCCAGTTGTTATGAATGCACGGGAATGCTTATGACAAGCTTAAGACAAGCTATTGACAAACAAGTTTTTGAAACAAGGATATCAGCAATTTCGTTTAAAGTCATCATTTTGCAAGTTCTATCGTCGATACAATGACCTTTTCAGCAAATACATTCTAACATTAAGACGAACATTGACTGACTTTTTTCGATAAAAAAAATGGTAAGGCTATTTTGTTTTATCACACTGATCAATTGATTGAATGGATTTTTGATCTTGTTTACAGTTCATTATCTTCATATTTCATAAATGAGCCTCATATTGATTTAATAATGAATATATCTATTCATATCTTTTTATTTGATTTTTATAGTTATGTTTATTTATAACCGGCATCTTCATTTATAACCATCATCTTCATTTTTTCTTCTGCAATTATTTAATATTTTAATTTGATGAAAATTATTTGATCAAAATATAGAAATAACGAACAAATGTCAAGTTTAGTAGTCCATTTAAACGAAACACATCGAGACCAGAGCAATTTAAATCTGATTAGTCGGGAAACATTTGTTAAAATGACTTTTACCCACTGAATGATGGAACCACGCCATCTAGCAGTTGTCAGCAACGCTTAACAACGAATCATATTACAGAAGTTGATGGCTTAACAAAATATATGCACTTACACTCACGGTTCAATATTCTTCGCATTTGTATAAAACATTCAGTATAATAAATTAATAATATGTCGTGAAGCTGACGTTAACATTATAAAATTTCACCCCAAGAAAGCCTTTGTCAACCAAGACTATCTGTTTTGCTTTGATTGACAATGGTTTTCTTGGGGGTGAATTTTCAATGATAATTCTGCACTTTCCTTCTTTACTATTACTAAAAATTTACAGTGGTGAAAAAGAGCATAACACTGATAAAGCGATCGATATTTCTTAATCATATCTTATTCTTTTAACAAAAAAATCAGCGAATAATCCATAACTTGATGAACATCTAAATTACTATATAGTACATGTGCATCAGTATATTGTGTTGTTTATTGTTGACCCACTGATCTGAATATCTAAAAAAAAAAACGTTTTAATGGGAATATCCATGATACAACTGGACGAATTATACATGTATATGCACTGATACTTAAATGTTTAAATTTTTCCCCCTCTTTTTATTTGAAGCTTGGGTATTTTGTAGATAAAAAATACAACCTTTTTTCAACTTTAAAAGAATTTATTGATGCTTCTTGTACACTTTTGGAGAATAGTTATATCCACAGGTAAAAGATTAGTAGAAATTGATTGTATGTCAATCATTTGTGCCTTGCGCATTTATTAAAAATCAATTTGAATCTCATATACATTTGTATATATCTAACTTCTAAAAGCTATAGACAAATTGTTCAAAGCAAACCATGATAGTAATTATATATTTATATATTTTATAAACTGAAAGTCGTTTAAAGAACATACGTCAATAACTCTGACAGGCAGGTCCTTTTTAAATGATATACTTTATGAAATCAAGAGGTATTTCTCCAAGCAGCTCCTCTTCCTTCATAAAGGACTTGCTTGTGCATTCGCTTGGTACGTTGAAAACATTAGTGTTGGATATGGTGGTTTGGTGGTCCCCAGCCACAAGATCCACATTTGAGATAAGGGATCCACCCCGGGTACGAGTGGTTACAGAATACACAACATCGTAACAACCATTTGTTTCTTCATACTTCATTGATTCGACGGTCGTTTTGGTTGAAGCAGAACTTGTTGAGTACGTGTAAGTGTTTACCTTTAGGTTTTGCGTTGGGGATCCCAGTTTGATTGATCCATACTTAACGGCACTGGAAGGCAAACAGGATCGGGCAAAAGGGTCAGCCAGGCTAGTGATGTTACACCTTCCATTAGTGACGGTGTACTTTCTGCTGGTGGTGTAGTCTTGTAAGGTCTTAGTCAGCACTGTGATGTTTCCAAGGCTTGGGATCAAAATCAATGATAAAGTGGCTATTTTCTGTTCCGATTCAGAATAGTAGAACCATGAGTTGCCCTGTAAGAAAGATTTAATTAAAGGCAATGTCAATCAACATTATGTTACGGATGTAAAAAACTATAAAGCTTAAGATTTAACCGAACAGCTGCAGCAACTTACGACAAATGATACTTCTCGTCCGCTCACAAAAACGAGGCCAGTGCTGTAGGCGATGCCTTGAAGTTCACTAGGAGAGCAGCAGCTTCCAGTGGCCCGGATGTTAAAGGCACTGCATGCCGAGATGAGGCAAAGGAGAAGAACACAGGCGGAATGCATACTGACTGCTGGACTTTGACAGTGAATTCGGCTTCTCTGCTCACCTTTTATCATGGTCTTCACATGGAGGGATGAGTAACACTTAAATAACAAGCCAATTGTTCGATACAAAGATCATTATTCTTCTCTAAAAAGGGCTAGTATTTGGTTTTCTCCTTGCAACTCCTCATTGGTCGCTTCTCCTTTACTTCTTTATTGCCGAGGGATTATTGTGCTGATGTAGGCATTCTAAAACAAAGAAATTATTTATTTTTGTTTTTAATTGCTTGCTATATTTATAAAGAATTTAGAACGAGACTTTGTGAGGTTTATTATGAAAATTATATTTAAAACTGTTCAATAGTTATCTTTTAATAAAAAAAAAGAAGTATAGTTTTTTGACATCGAAAATAATTACGTGAGATGTGTTTTTACCTGCATGGGACTTAGGTATCATATAAGATAAAAAAAAATTAAATAGACCTGTTACTGTAGTACAAATTCTAGTTGGTTACTGTATTACCCTGTTTCCTGTTTAAATGTTTTAGGCTTACTGAGGCCGTATGCTCTTGTAATGATCTGGAGAAAAATCCGCAGACAATTCAGAGTATAGTAATGGTCTAAAAATAAGTATGAAACATAGTCAACATTCGACCTAATATTTTGATAGCTATATTTTTATGAGATATATGAAATTCTCATTGACCTTCACCTTTGAAATTATTATGGATATTTGCATGTCATTTAGATTCAATTCAGCTAATTCGGTAATCGTTCATTTAGCAGCAAAGCCTGTTGATTCTGCAATTGAGTCTGTATATACATGTATTATTTACAGTTGTTTGTTTTACATTTCTGTGTTTTTGCAAATTACTTGTTCGTTTCCTGTCGACGTCCTCTTTACCCGTTTTCACTTTCCATCTAAATGTTTGCAAATTTAAAAATTTAAAATTCCGACCTACCTTTATTCTGTTGCCTATGTCTTACGCTGGGATTTTGTTGGTGCGAACCTGATTTACGAGGGTCGATCCCATAATATCTTTAATAACAGAATATTATCCACAAAATTTTAGATACTAATATCCCTATCTATTTTGATTTTGGAATTCCATTTTTTTTCTTAAATAATATACTTTATAAAATCTAACAATGCATACAATGCTAGGACTTGTCTATCTCCGCCTATCGTTCAATTTGTTTTAGTTTTAATTTAGCACCTTTTTTATCCTCTCATATATATTGTAAAGCCACTTTTAAAGTCATTTTGTTATAAATTGTCGTGTTTTGATTTGTATTTCTAAAATATTTGAAGTCTGAAGTATGCATTAAATTATAAACATATAGGTGTGACTATAGGCTCCGATCTGTCATTATGGATGTTGGCTTTTTAAACCCCCAAGTTTTACTGAAGAAAATGCAGCAAAAACAATACGTTTTTTCCTTAAACTTCAATATGCCAACAAAGGAATTGCCGAGGTTAATATAAGTAATATTCTTAATCACAAAAGGTTCCAGTCTTGTATTCCACCACATTTAAAATTAAAGAATACACCTTGTATATATTTCCTATAAATATACATCAACTATTGCTTCCAAACTTTTTAATTATAAGATAACTTTACAAGGCCTGGATATCGAATATCTGAAACATAATCCTCCATCGTCCATGTTCTTCTTTACCCTATAACTATAGTACTGCAGTACAAGTTATTACTGGTGACGTAAATATATTTAAAAATGAGGACCTTAGATCACTTATTCTAAAAGGTCTTAAATATAGGGAACCCCGATCCATCACCTGGCGTCAGAATTTCATAAATATAAGGATTCTGTAGAAGATTACCCCAGGCGATGGGCCAGATATGAAAAAAGAAGACGACATTTTGATAGAATGGATTTAATGTATCAGATCTACAGTATGTTACAATCGCGCAGTAAAAGATTGAGGGGCAATACGATTACCATCTATCCATCTATATTCAATAATCCAAAAGTGAAAAATGAATTAGATAGATGACATGATCAGTAGGAACTGGTCCCTGTTGACAAAGCAGGTAACAACATTGTCTTCGTTTGTAAAGCTAATTATATAAATTGTATTTTAGAGGAACTCGGATTTAATTCTACAAGTGGTTATCCAACGTACAATGTTCCCTTTCTAAGGAAGAAATTCTTCAAAGTCGTATGTCACTTTTGAATACTTTTAATATTCCCAACAACCTAAATTACTCCTTCTATATTGGATTCCGAAACTTTATAAAAATCCTTACAAAAAATACATAGCAGGTTCCAGTAAATGTTCAACCAAGCCTCTTTCTATACTCCTAACTAAGATATTAACAGCAGTGATAAAGAAACTTCAAGAGTACTGTGCAACACTATATCAAAGAAGTAGTGTAAATCTGATATGGATATATAAAAATTCTTCATAACTTTTGGAAAATTTGAAATCACAGAATTAAACTTTAAAATCAACAGGTTAAAAGCTTACGACTTTTCATGTTTTGCACAACCATTCTCCACGACAAATTAAATTCCAAGCTTTTTTATATCATTGACACCTACTTTTTCAATAAAAATGGAACTCGTAAATTTAATTACCTTGTCATTGGTCATTTGCAAAAATAATTTTGTTAAAAACCATTCTGATTCTACACACAAGTACTCTGAAGTTGACATAAAAAATGCTTGAGTTTCTGATTGACAACAACATTTTTGGAGACCAATGTCTTCCAATGAACTATTGGAATCCCCAAGGGTACCTACTGCGCCTATTATTAGCAGACTTATTAAATTTTTTGTTTGTATTCATATTAAGCAGAATTTGTCCAAAATCTTATACATGAAAAGAAGAAAAAAGAAGGTTGTGGCCTTCAATTGGACATTCAGATATATCAACGACGTATTGTTTATTTACAATCATCGTTATTTCCAATCTTATGTCGATACGATATCCCGGTGAACTTGAGATACAAGATACCAACGCATCTGTTTAATATTTGGATATTGTACTTGAAAAAAGGAAGTGGTAATCTAACAACCAAGCTCTATGAAAAACGTGATGACTTTAACTTTTCAATATTCAACTCCTCTTACTGATGCAGCAATATAGCTTCATCACCTGCATACGGGGTTTATATCTCTCAGTTGATTCGATACGCAAGAGCATGGTCTACGTATGTACAATTTCTAAAACGAGATAAATTATTGACAAAAAATTTACTGTAACAGGAATATCAGCAGTCTCCTTTAAAGTCATCATTTCTAAAGTTTTATGGTCGATACAATAACCTTGTCGGCAAATGCAATTTATCATTGAGTCAAATGCTGACTGATGTTTTTCAAATTAATTGTAAAGAAATTGTCATCTCAGATGTTTTTGAGATCCGTATTTGCTAGATCCACCTATTTCATATTGTTTTATGGACGTTTGGGCGTGAATACTATGCGTTGTCTACATAAAATTAATGCTTTACAAGCTATTGACAAACAGCTTAGGATTATCAACAGTCTTGTTAAAAGTCATTTCGTATGTCAGTTCATATGGTCAATACATTTGTCATATCAGCAAATGCATTCTATCATTAAGTCAAATGGTGAAGGGTGTTTTTCATACACTAATAGTTAGATCATTATTTACATATTGAATTGTCAAGGAATGTATCCATTTTCCCGATCATGATAGTGAGCACTTGGAGGTAATGTCCGGTCGGCAGGGGATGCTCACTCATCTATGGCACCTGATCCCAGCTATGATGTTTTGGAGGTCCGTGTTTGCTCTGCTCCTGATTTGTATTGCTGGAATGGAGAAAAATAGCTTGAATACTGTTCGTTTTCTCAATATTTTATGAAAAACGTCAGTCGATATTTGACCTAACGAGTGATAACATTTGTCGTTGTTTCGACCAGAGAAGTTGTAAAGTATTAACATAAAATAAAATTGTTTACATTCTTGTATCATCACCTTATTTGTCAATGAACTACCTAGTTTTAGACATTGTGCGTAGAACATGCTCTTGCGAATCGATACAAAAATTCCATAAAGAGAAGATATTAGAGCATTGGTAGAATAATAAGTGAATTTGACGATAGAACAATAGAAGTCAAGATGTGTAGCATTAAGTTCAGTGGTTTCTTTGACATTGCCTTATTTCTGTTAGGAAATATCTAAATAAGAAACAGAAGTTCGATCAATGCTATATATCAAATTTACATCGAAATGGAAATGAATGTTGTTAAAACGTCGTCTATATATTCAACAAAAAAAGAAACGCATATTGTTTTACTCATCAAAGAAATTTCGGAAAAGTATATGGAACAACTATCTTTTTTATCATTGGATGCCTGTGACCTATTTAAAGTACAACATGGGCTTTTAAACCCCAATTCTAGAATTATTTCCCTTGATTAATCATTTCTATGAAAATAGTGTTTTACATGATTTCTTGTAAATCGCGGGTCTATTTTCAATGAAATTTTGGATTTAGAGAAACAATAAGCACTTCTATTAAACCCATATTTAAGGTTTGATTGCAACGTTGATGCTGCAATGCCACGCCCAAACAAAGATGAACGCAACAAGGCTCTTACAATGATAGTAACTGGAGCTACGCATCAGTAAGTTGCAACTGCATTTGGTGTACATCAATCAGTTTTGCAGCAGTTAAACGCACGTTTCCACCAGCTAGGAACACGGATGACAGACCAAGAACTAGGGGTGTGCGGGTTACCATACCCAGACACAACCGTCGGATTCTCCTTCAGCACCATGTGCAAACGACCCAGAACTGCTGTACAAACTGCTGAAATAAGCATAAAGTGCACAGATTGTTCGGAAGAGACTGAGAGGAGCTGGTATTCGTCTCGACGTTCGATTATTGGAAATCCACTTGCGCTGAGAGGTCGCAAAGGACATATGGATTGGTTAAGACGTATGCCTTTAAAATTTGGATGCGACGTCAATGACATAACTTGTCAATTTAGAACATAGGACTCGTTTGATTTTTATCACAAGACACTCTAAAATCACTTTTAAAAATTAGGGTTTAAACTTATATTATTATGTTTTATCTGAATATGCGGTTTTTTTT